GTCGGGTAGAAAGTTATCAGGAAGGTCAGATTCCTCAAAGTAACCTCAGAACACCCGAAAGCAACTGCTCCACCAAAATCTCAACAGAAAAGCATCCGGGCCAGTCAACCATTCAATCAAGTCAGGAAAAGCCAGTTAGTCCTCGTGCACGCCACAGAAGCATGACCGAATGTGATCTGCGTCCGGGCATTTCACAGAGGCACGATCGATGTTGATGGGTGTTCACTAACGCCTATCAGACAGCCTGGATCAATGTCAGAAAGTCCTCTTTGAATAGCATGGGGTTGTTGTAACTTTTGCTCTCGCACTCGCTTGTTCGGAATATAGCTCCCTTCTGTGAGTCTTTTCTCTCCGATACTAGGCACCTGGAGCGGGCAGCAGCAGATACCACAGATTGACGAATCAGCGGATATAACAAAAATGCTGATGAGTTTTGGATTTTTCTAGTGAACAAACATTATTTCTGGCTGCTGTTCAAGGTGCTTCGTTGAGTGCTTAAATAAATGTCTATGAGTGCCCATTTTCTGATCACCTCTGCAGCGGTTTATGAGCTGAGCGTTGCTAAAACAGATTGAGAACGAAGAAGGTAGCGAACAAAGCTTGTTTTCTGTAATTGTTCCTCTTGGCTAATACATCACAAGTTTATATAGCACCATAAATCATGTGGAAAAGGTTAAGATCAGGGGTACATACACTTTAGAGGAACAGAATTCAAAGGAAGGGGAGGTTGAATGAGGGATAGGTCAATGGGTCACGGAATCAGGTAATTGACGTGAATGTCGGACAGACTTGTGGGACCAGATGTTTCGTAGGCCAGCTCAAGTTCAGAGGTCGCCTCTGCAATCGATAGTAGTCTGGATCCTACCAGTCGTGATCGGCTCAAAGGTACCTGGTATATGATGGTGAAGGCTTGCTCCTTGTCTATGACTGTTTCGGTCAAATATGATGCAATCGCGCTTGAGCCTGGCATTCCACCATTCTACCATTCCGCAACTTTGCATCCAGAAGAAACTTGTGCGGTCTATGAACTTGAGATGGCCCATGAAATATCTAGTACCACAAGTCTGTCCGGCATTCACGTCACTTATCCGATTCCGTGACCCATTGACCTATTCCTCATTCAACCTCCCCCTTCCTTTGAATTCTGTTTTCTCTAAAGTGTATGTACCCCTGATCTTAACCTTTTCCACGTGATTTCTGCTACCATATAAATTTGTGATATATTGGACAAGCGGAACAATCACAGAAAACAAGTTTTGTTCGCTACGTTCTTCGTTCTCATGACTACCACGGGTATATTCAGCCACTCAAAACAGATTGCCATACCGACTGGATAATCGGATATAAGTTTGACCCCCGTTTTATGCGTTGCTCGCCTACAGCACTCACGTGATTGGACAACTGACCTCTTTATGAACTCGTCGCATGACCCAAAGCATGATTTATGCATCTCGCGTAGTCGTGCATTTTAGATATCGCCCACATCATTTATAAGAGTTCATGTTCGCCGCCAGAAATTCATCGATCCCTTTATGAAAAGAATTGACTAATTTGGAATACGAAAAAGTTCACAAAGTAATTCCAAAACCAGTCGGTTTGCCAAAACTGAACTTGAATGGAGGGTCAATCAGTCTACCAGAGTAGTAAACGAACGTTTTGAATGTTTATTGCTGCTTTTGACACACCGATAGAAAATCATCTTAATGTCAACATCATTTCGAATTTTTGCATCAAATCACCGATCTGTAATAAAAGTTAGCTATTTGCAAATCACAAACAAAAGTACCCATCCTGAATGCAAAATGATCATCTGCATTAGACAACCTCGATTTCAGCAATCACAGACACGGTTTCTTGTGCATCAGCTATCGATCCATTCCGTGTTCCACCCACTAGTAGGAATCCATTGGATTTAGGAGTGATTGATTGATTGATTGATTGGACGGATAGAGTTCAAATCTGCTTGAGGAAAATGACCACGAATCAGTCAATTCAGCTATTTAACTTGAAAAAATCGATTTAATATTGAACAGATTTCCTGAACTCAGCGGTATGCATTGCCTAGCAGTTCCATCCAAGCTTATATGGTTAGCTTCGGAATTAGCAGAAGGAGTCAATCGGCTATTCATTCTGGAGTTCGATCTTTTTCCCCCTCACCTACCTCAGTTTTATTGCACCCTGAAAAATAGGATTGAGTGGGATAGATGGGATAACCTTGGCCTACCACAGTATCAATATATCCTAAGGGAGACTCGCACCCAACCGAAGATTTGGCCTGAAACCGATATACTTACTACCGACTACCGCAAACTCTCAACGGGGAACACTCAACGTGTCCGACAACTTTCATCTCCCAGCCTAAGAAGACCACGGTGCAGAATTCCAGCGCCAGCGTACTCCTCTGATGAACTGCATAGCTAACAGACTTGTTCCTGAGGGGTAAATGGTAATGTTAAATTATAAAATTTACCCGTACGTCAGTCCTGACTGCAGTGGTACAGCTTTATCTTCACTGGACGCGTGCTTCAAGGGGACAGCTGAAATTGTTCATCTATAAAAATCCATCTCTCTAGAGAAAAAAAGCCGATGCATAACGCAAAAATTTACTAGTATGCATATGAAAGCAGATTACTACTCAGGTGAAATGAATGCTTTCAGCGCAAGTTAGATTTCCGATTTAAACTCCACTCCTTCCGGTAACACGGCTATCCCTCCAGGGTAGTCATGTTGACCAGCACTCAGAACGGACTACTGTTTATTTGTCAATTAAAGCTTCACTTGTTTCCTAGAAAAAACATGTGAGGAGATCAATCAAAGGTCTCTTCTGAGGCGGAATGATTTGTTCAAAAGACATTTACCCCCCTCAGATGAATAAGTCTCAGATCTGGTGGGCCTTCATTAGACGCATTTTACCATAAAAAGAGTCTTCAGGCTTCATATCATGGTTGACTACGTAGGCCTGGATAAAGTACTACAAATATTGATTTGATTATGTCTCGGGTCCAGTACGGCCACTTCTGAAAATAAACCATGGTTACGGAGCGAAGCACAAGTTAGGTCTTTCTATTATTCTCCATCATTTGAAGCCGCTAAGCTGTTTTATTAACATTCCAGTTCTTCGAACAAGTAGTACAACTACACAAGCTAAACACGCTCCTAAGTATTCTTGATACCAGTTGGCGATACCTGGTTGTCGCAGGGACACCTGAGATTTGAGGAGGTGCCACGATCATAGGTTCAATACTGCCGCTACATTTGAATAACCAGTACAAAGACGTGAGTCTTGTAGCCACCGTTTCGCCACATACATGATTGTAGAGGTCACCGACTCTCGCTAGATTACGAGATCTGTCTTTTTTTTCTTACACTCNATGCGGGAGCCATAAGTCACGTGCTGATACCCACACACACAAACGCTCCTACAAATAGGATAACAGCACAGCAACACGACACAACTCAACGGAGCTTCGCACGTCACCCAACTCTGAGCAGAGCCGCTTGGGACTTGCGGCGCTTCAGTCACGGATACTCAGGAATACGTGTGGCTGCCACAACAGCGAAGAATACACGTATCCTGCATCCGGACTTGCAACAGGATTTATCAACCTGCACCTGCAATACGATAAGTCCCTTGTTCGCATTTATACCTGTTGTAATAATTTTACTCAACACGCAGACATTGTTAGTGCTCCTCGTTTTCTCGTTCGTATAATTAATTTACGGGTCCTAGTAGAGCATTAACGGTCTACATCATCTGGCGACTCAAATTCTTTGGCGATTGTGGGCTTCAGTCAAGCACCCTGTTTTTTTTACGCCCAAGTCTTTTTGGCTCTTGTGCGCAGAAATGGGAAATTTTTGGGCCTGTCTAGTTGTGCCTACCGTGGTAGAGTTCACCAATCCATGCAAGTCATTCGAAGAAGACCAGCCAATGGAGACTGGCCATTTCAGGTACTATATTTTGACAAAAATTCAGTGCCAGCAGGCTCACCTTGTATGATGGAAGACCTCGAACCACTGTGAGGTTGTTTCATTCTTATAGTGCATCGATCGTCGGTCGCGCTGACCGTATCAGTGAGGAAATGTCAACAATCCAACTATCAAGTTCGGCGACAAAAAAACAACAAGCAAACAGTGCTCCCCGAGTCCCTATATTGCGCAAAAATGGCCAAACCTTTCGGTTAACGCAACACTTTGGTCAAAGCGGAACGGTTGAACAGTTCAATCTATCGCCCACAACCATTAAACTTCGGCTACAAAATCCGACCCAATATGCAAGGAACGGGGATAATTGCCTGCATCTGATAGGCATTGAATGTGAATTTGAACATCGCTCAGTTATGCCCGACAGAACTGGCGGATCCAGAAGAATTCATAAGTAGTATTTTTCGAGTTGTTGTGCCGACACAAGGGTGCAAATGGTTACTTCGAAGTAGACTTCGACTTTTTTTCAATTTTCCTAAATGTTAACACTCTTGGGCTGGTCGTTCAGGGAATCCAAAGTTGAAACATATTGATTCAATCCAGTTGTTCATCTGTTCTCTCACTAACGAAAAAGCGAAACCGATCAAGGGCTTTGGAAGTGTTTTCAACAACCTTAAGAGTAGTGTTCCTTCAGGAAGAAAAACCTGTGTTTCCTTGGTACAGCCATTAAGAGAATGGTAAACTCTTGGCAAGCGTTCTTTATTCGACCATTTCCGTTTCGGGATTCTTCAGTGCCTGGAGTTGTAGACTAATGAAATCTTAAAGTTGATTTGTGCTAGCCATCCCATGGAAGCGTTCAGCTGTAGCACCCTTCCGGTGCCTAGCTGCCATGCCACCCGAAGGAAGCACGAGGGCTGGGATACTGCCAGGTTGCCCAAGCCTAGACAGGGGAAGTCGAGAGGCAGAGGTCGGTTTGGAACCACGGACCTTCCGGTCAGCAAATTAGCGCTCTAACCAATTGGTCCATCCTACACGTTCACTCTCAGTTTAGTTTAATACTGTATAGGATATCATGACGAATGTCATTTATTGAACAAGATAAGCGTGATAAGGTCATACTACTGACAAGTACATTTGCATACTTTTCCATTCCAATGATGTCGTTCGCTTGTTTTCCACAGGCGTCAACACAGTTCGTGCGCACAACGCTACCATGTATGAATGCCCGAATGTGACGCTAAACGACGCATTAGAAAAAAGAGCTAGATATCACGTGAGCTGAAGACTTACACATGAGTACAATAAAAAAAACTTAACAAAGTCTCGTACCCGTGTTTATTGCCACTAACTAAAGCAGTGGATAGCCCTACTAAATAGCAAATGAATAGGGTCGTGGGTCGAAGGGGCGAGAAACAAATGAGCGACCATGTAGATCGTGCTAACTCAAAAGAGGCTTGGAGCCCGTGGCATAATGTAAGCATAAAATGCTGAATCTTGTTTCCTTGGCTTTGCCTGTTCCTGTTCGGAGGTGGGGGGATAGTCTTGATAGCGAGACATGATTCATCCACTTTTCTGCTGTCCAACGGTATCATATACAACTACATCGTGACACGAGATTTGTTTTATTCTATCCAAATCCAGACTAATACGTTGATCTAAAACCCCCTTAAAAGTAGTTATCACCGGTACTTCATCACTACACTGAAAACAACAGGAAACGCGAATGTCCAATAACCGGGTCACTTGAATCGATGGCTGCCGGCATGAGCTCAGAGTGGTGCGATCCGCAGTCACGTGAACAAACTGTGACGTGCCTGAAATTGCATCAGTCAACTTGACCTGCATTAGCTATGCTGACGTAAATGATATCACAAGGATCTCCACCAGGCATCTTGTGAAGCTCCAAAATATGAAGGAAAGGATATGAATATGGGCCACGTATCAGCCCTGTCTAAGCATATAACAAAATCTTCGGATTCGATGTTAGTAGAACAGCATCTGTCTACAGACAACCTAGCTGTTGTCCAGTTTGCAGCAAACCAAGGTATAGAACGGATGTTTACGACAGGTGGCCTCGGATGCAGTGTTGTCAAACAGTATCCAACTAACATTCCAACTCAGTTTGCTTATCGAATGTTTTTGGATAACCGGTATTTTTTGCTATGGTATGTGAGCTCCCAAGTTGCCGCTTTCCCAGTGTGTTGTAAGGCTCGAACCTGATAAGAAAAACATTCCAAAGAATGCCTTCATGTGCCTACAGTCAGGTGGGAATGAACTTTTAGTGGGCTTTCTCCTCTCAAAGCTCACCAAAGTATGGTCTTACAAGAACATATTGTCTTGAGTACTACAGTGAACTTTCGTAGGAATCCCGGGGTTATATGAGTCACATAATCTGTAAGTGTAAGGTCAAAATACCACTAGACACTGGACACGGCATACTCACCTGTTTCGATCAGAACGTTCAGGTAAGTTGTATCTCATGAACCAAGAGAGACCTGTCAGTATAGCTGCATTTCAGGCACGGCAAAACACGGAGTCAAAAGGCAGAGAAGAGAAGCGCTTGTACAGAGCTTTTCAAAGAAACGAATACTCATTAGGCGGACTCTGGGAAAACCCAATTTGACCAACCCTACATCACAAGGAGAAGACAAACGGATCACACTTCCATAAATCAGGAATATTTCGGAAATGACAACACGCTTTCTACGACAGTACAACACAGCAGTGTCCCACAATCCTGCAAACACCCTACGGAGAACACTATCAAACTCAAAGGGACGATTAGACACAATGTTGAGGATCAACATCGTGTACAAGATCCA